TTAAAATCTGATTTTAGAATTTAGATTTCCAAAAGTAGGGAATGGTGTAATTACGCATTCTCCAATAAAATAATATTACATGTCATCTCAAAATTTTTGCTTCTTTTTGAACCACACATTTTCTAGTAAAACACTATTTCAACAATTAAAATTTCAAATAACGAGGGCCAAACGGAGGCTTTGTTAAAGTATTTTTGATAGTTGGAAGAGCTTTTAGAGGAAGTTGGTCCACTGTGACTTTGTCTAAAAATACTTCCTAAATAAAAACTTCTTTTAAAAATTAGTTTTCAAAAAAAAAATAAATAAATAAATAACTTCATCCAAAAATTTTGTGCAAGAAACAAAAGCAAAAGCTTTAGTCATGCCATCTAACTCAAAAAGTAATTAAAAAAATTATACAAACATGTTGCAAAGCAATTTCTTAGTCTTATAAATAGTTTTTGACTTTTCAAAGATTCAATCAAATGAGCCCCTAATCTATCTATATTCTTTCGGGAAAGCATGGGCGGTGGCTGCTGGAAGTTAAAATTTAGGGCTAGTGTTGGGAATAGGTTGGTGTTAGGATTTGATCTGAAATGTTGGTACGATGGGAGAGGGAATACAGGACGACGGCTAATAGAAGTTGAAATTTCGGGCTGTGGTGGACATGTTGCGGTAATGGTGGGAGCTTCAATTGGGGCAGCAGTCGCCAGAGTTTATACGAGAGAGGTAGCGATAATGGTAAGCTGGGGGAAGATGGAGACGTCAAAATATTATTTTTTTATTTGTTTTTCTCCATCGAGGATAACATGAGTTTCGACTTTTTAATGTTCATCACGACAGTACCACACTTACACTAGTTTCAAATATTGAGACTTAGGTGCCACAAATTAAAGGTTCGAGACCTAATGGTCTAAATTCATAGTTTCAGTATTCCAAGTACAATTTGCCCTTTTAGTTCATCTCAAACATCTTTTGGAATCTGCGGTAATTCAGTGCTAGGCACGTGTAATATTGCTTGTTGGAAATACATGACATCAGTATGGTCTATTTCTCTAAGACACTCTTTGGTCAAGACAGTTTACACGGCAAAACAATGCTTGTTCTAGTAGAGTTTAGGTTATTGTATCTCATATGTCATAACTATTTATTGATATTGGAAAAAATGCCTACATGAAATTACGTCCCCTTAATCACAATCGCGCTATCCTTGATAGACAGATGTTGTCCGATGGTGGTGCAACATTTATCATGGTAGGGCAGTTCAATAGAAGATGTGGTCCACAGGTCACATTTTAGAAGAATCGATAAGTATGGACGAGTCCCACTTATGTCACTCGAGTGTCTGTTGGCTTGTTCTTATCGTAATTTTTGCTAATTGTACAGAAATTGGGTTATGGATTTGTTGACAGTCAAGGACTCAAGGGCTAAAAAACTGCCACCATACATGTAGCAACTCTCGTCTCGTCAAACCTCTACCCATACATGTCTTAAGATTGTTCTACTTATATATTTAGGTGTACGCCCTGTATGACATAATGCATAATTGATATTCTGTCATTAATAGGCGAATTTTTTTTTTTTTTTTCACCAACTAAAAATAAAATGACAGCATTATGTCACCTATGATGTACACCTGAGTGTACATTTAGCAAAGCCTCTTAGTTATCTGCATACACTCAGTAGATAGTTGATACACCAGCCACGCAAACCTAACTCCTCCGTTGTGCAGTAGAATGGAAGTTAAAGAAGAGAACATTCAATGCCTCTGTGACATCAAATTTTACACACAATTATAGAAATTGTATTTATGCATTTTACATCTATGTTAGGAGAGATTACATGGTAGAAAATGCACGAGTAGAGAAACTAAAAACAGATCAAAATTCAAATTACACGGGGGGACAATAACGGGTTTATTGACCACCATATAACTAGACTATTTAGCAACTTCTTCTACGGGTACTTTATTCCAAGCTTCCTCTAATCCACCAAGCTGCAACGGTGGCAACGAAAACACACTCACAGTTGAGCTTCCACTTCGAATCTCTTTCAAAACTCGTAATGCAGATATAGCACTTTTCATATACAGGCTCTCCATGAACTCGATCTCAGCAAGTTCTTTTGGGCCTTCAAGCAATACTTCATTGTTGGTCGTGGAACTGGTTGAGGGTTCGTCTCCATCAGCTGCCTCAGTATCAGGTGGGGGTTTGTTAACTGGAAACAGGCGGTCGAGCATTGTCTCACACTCTTTCACAAGCTTGTACAGCAAGTCAGTTGTAAAAAAAGGCTGTTGCACAACCTTCTGTATAAAGGGCAGGCGAAGAAGAGCACCAGTTCTTTTGTCATACTTCTTCAATATTTTTGCCAGTCCTGTTAGGCAAAAAGCGATAAAGAATATTGCGTGTAGTCCATAGTCTAAAACATTACAAGTAAAAAATTTAAAATAAATACTTAAATGAACAACTTCTCCAGCACTAGGCTGGTATATGCCTTATTTATCGACCAACTTCTCTACAATCCGTCAAAACGTAAAAGATCAGGACTATGTTGGCTATGATGTAATTCTGTTAATCTGAATTTTATCCATGTAGATTAGAGTATTGATGCCACAAGGGATAATTCTATGAATTTTTCAGAGAAGACATATCAGAAACAAAAAGAAAGCATGCTATGGAAGTTTTGATTTGTTGATATTCTAACTCAATAATTATATACCCAGAATTCGACAGGAGAAATTCATAGTTCTAAAGCTGTCACAATGCAAAGGCAATAACAAAAGCAATTAGATTACAGAGCTAACTAGAAGAATGCAAAAGTACCTGTATAATTAAGAGCACTGTAATTCTCCAACAAAACCATCTCCCCATGGAAGTCGACAATTTCTTTCCGTATTTTATTCATCTCATCGTTCTGGTCCTTGGCCTTAGCGACCCGATCTTGCAATTCCTTTACACCAGATAACGTAAAAAGACGTAAGTTCACCACCAGAATCAAAATTCACTATCAACCTATAGTAGAGTATCTAATTGCAAAATAATAAGAGCATGTTCGGCATATAGCATTAGACATGACAGGAAGATACAATTTCTTAACGCTGTCACCATACAAAACATTCCTCAAATGCTAAAATCACAATGGCAATTACAAGCATCCTACTAAACACGTAGTGGAAATATACATTGCATTATACCCACATCATTGTGCTCGAGATCGGCAAAAAAAGTGAAATGTATATGAAAATGAATTGAATTTTATCATACTTGCTGTTGAATAAAATCATAACAATCAGGTAAAAGGAAATGGATAGTCATTCTATTGTGTCCTATGAATTTTATCTTTGCAAATTCTGATATCACACATTAATGAGAAGGAAATTAATAATTTCGTTAAGATCACAAAAAAGGATCCAATTGCCCGAGTTGCAAAATTCTTGATAAGGGAAAGAGAGCTCCAACTCCAAAAGATTAGTAATAAACATGTAAAATTCATTGAAAATCAAATCAAATCAAATCAATGAATACGAATTATTCGATTAAAAGTAGCACCGCATAGTTAAAGGTATAAAAAGAATATGCGTATAGCATAATTACCTTTAATCGGATGATGTACTCTTCCTCTTTCTCAACAAAGAAAGCGTTAAATTTCTCGAGTTCATCCTCCAATAACTTGACGAAATCTGCCTCCGCCTCCGTCATAACCACCCTTTCGCCACCACCGTCGGCGGCCAATTCACCTTCCACTTTCTGCCTCTTCTTGGCCCTCCCCTCTTCCCCCGCCGATGACGACGGCCCCTTCGGCTCTATCAGCTTGAGCTTCCGTTTCAGCTCTTTGTACGACAAAAACTTGTCCCTCCATTCAGGCAAAGTCTCATCAATTTGATTGCTCAAACTCTTTCCAAACTTCATACTGACTGAAATCCAAAAACCGAAAAAAATTAAATATATGGGTTTGATTAAAAACACAAAACTCAACAAATTGAGATTGAGGGTTTGTTCAGAATTACGAATTTGATTGAAAAACAGAAAATGAATGAATGGATGGAGAAGCAAGAGTGAAGAGGAAATGAGGAAAAAGAAGAGTAAGTGGTGATATAACGGCAATTGAGGAGAGAGAATATGCGAGGGGTAGAGTTGGGAATATTCTTTGTGAGAGAGGATATCTCTTGGTTTTATTCTCTTCAGGACAGAGACTTAAATTAAATTAATTTTTTATTCCTCTCTTAGTTGACACTTGGCAATGAGCTCCATTTTGGCGTCTCGATCTGAGATTTCGGGTATTAATTAAATTATTTCTCGAGATATTTATGTCGGGACCGGAATAATGAACCGGAGTTAGAAGTTGGACCGGCTAAAAATATATATATCTGTATTTTCATAATAATTTTAGTAATTTTTTTACGATATTTAATTATTTGATTCAACACGATTAATATACTTCCTATTTCTATATCAATGTGATAAATACATATGGCTATAATAATAATAAAAAAAAAGATATAAAATTCGAGTATAGCTATTTAATTAAATTCATTTGTATAGCTATTTAATTAAATTCGAGTATTTTAGGTAATATATATTTTTTGAATTGTCATAATCCAAAATACAAAATTAGCGAAGTTTATTTATTGTTAAAACTTGTTTATGATCATATGACAAATCCAAAATAACTCTTCGTGATTTTATAAGGTCAAATCAACTCAGGTCTAATTCTTACATGAAAATGTAATATTTAATTTTTTTTATTGAATTAAATTGTTATAATTTCATAGGGAGAGAGAAACATATTATATATTATATGTTTTGATTTAAAATAAAGAATGATTTTCATTTCAAAATTTAACCATATATAGGGGAAAAAGAAGAAGAAGAAGGAGAAGAAGTGTTTTTAAAGTATATTTACACAAATAATAAGTATTGTTATAGGCCTAATCTCCTATCCCCAGTGTGCAGGATAAGTAAGGTTTTCTTGTCATATCAGTAATAAGAAAATTTTATCTTGTTCGCTGGAGACAGAAGATCAATTTCAAGTATTGCTAAACATGCTTTCTTCTTTATTCGTTATAAATTTTTCAACTAGTAGTAGTTAGGAATGCTCGACTTTTGCTTGCTTTAAGTATTTTGAATGGAAAGAATATTTTTGCAGAATATTCTTATGCAATAAGGAGTATAAATTGGCCCAAAACACAAGGTTGGATAGATACAATTTTAAGAAGGAAATTGTAGCTTTATGAGCAACTTGGTGTTCATACATGCAACATCATTTTAAAATTATAATTATTTTTCGATTAATTTTTCAGTAACGATATTCTCTATTATCTATTTTTAGTAATCTTGATCGTTAACGTCTACACATTCTTAAGATGCATAAGAGTTAAAGATTGTCATTCAACTATACTTTACTTCTAATCAAAGTAAAATAATCAAATAAAGGAAAAAACTAGCAAAGAAAATGAAAAGCAATGAAAAAGAATGGGAAACCCACAACCACCCTACCAACCTTCGACCCTTCATTTCAAATTTCATGCCACTTTATTCCTTCAATCCTTTCATTAGCTTTCTTGGTCATATTATTCTTTCTTCAAAAATATTACTTTCGATTTATTTATCTGTCAATAGCTAAACATGTGACATGCACATTCTTGTTTAATGGTCAAAATGGTGGTGAATCGATAACGCATACTGCAATAAACTAATATGTTGAGAATGACATTATCAAGAAAATTAAATTCGGATCAATTTACGAGGGAGGCGTGGGATGTGGCGATTAATTTTCACGAAATTTGATGTCGTTGAAGATATTGAAATGAAATCTTTCATGAGAGTTTACGCTGTCTATAAATTGCTATGCGATATTGTATCATTTGTCCAACCTATCAATTGTTCAAAATAAAAATATACATACAAAAAATGTTAGATAATACAAACTTTTACGATTTTTGTTTACTCTTGGAAATAAATTACCAAATTTCATTTTTATTGTTTGTAAAACAAAATGTTTGATTTTTCTCTCAGCTTAGATTGAAATATAATTTTCTAATAAAAAGTGCCAAACGCGCCAGCTAGAATAGGAGAGTCGGCTCAAGCCAAGCCAAGCCAAGCCACAAGCCAACTTGTGAACTGGTATAATAATCTCATGTGGAATATGCTAGTTAGCTTCGAGAAGACCTACACAACGGAAGCCAAATTACGAATATAGACATTTGTTATGCCAGATACACTGTACACACTATGGGCATTTCTGGAATGAAATGTGAGGTTATGAACTGTCTAATTCTAACGTGACATGAAAATCACGCGACAATTTTATTCATAATAAATATTTACAAATATATGCTAAATGAGATGTACAATAAACAGTATTAGATGTGATTCGATATAATTTTTCTAAGTACTCTACAATTTTATTCAATCATTTTATAAATACCGCTAAAAGCAATATTATAAAACTTGGACCGAGTTGCTCTACTAGATCGGTCTGCGATTAATTCGGTGAAAAAAGATAAACGACATCATATTATCATAAACCGCTTATCCAAACGACATGCTATTTGAAAATTTTCAAATTTTATGTAAGATTTAAATAGTCGCTTACCACTTTACAGCTTCATCTTTGGCCTTTTTGATTGCTTTTCTCATTGTTTATTTGTTTTTTCTAAGATTTGAATAGTTGCATATCAAGAGATTTATTTACCTAATAATTATTCATGCGTCGATTTTCACAAAGTTAGTCACCTGACCTTTCTCTATGAAAGTTAGTATTGAATCTCCAATTTTTCTTGGAAATAATGCATGAAGATATATACGTATCTATATACCCCACCATATGGACCATTTTGAATTTATGATTTTAATTAAGGCCATGTGAGTTGCCATGATTTTGGTACAATGATCTTGATAACACATTTTTTAATCAACTGTCATAATTTTGACATATAGAAAGGTGTCAACTACAAGTAGTTTAATCATTTAATTAATGCTGCTACTAGATGGTCTCATGTCTATTTGCTTTCCGCTAGCATCTGATGAGTATCGTACGTCTACTGTACTTGTCATTGAACATTTGATTGCTCATGTTTAGCGAAGTCGTTTATCAAACATCAACAATTCATTGCTAGCACATTACTTATGAAAACAAAACTCTCATCTTCTATTTGGGGTCTTGTTATATTACATATTGCATCATATGTTTGTATAAAACCAATTACTTATCACCAATACTTACTATTACAACTTGTATCTTGTTAAAAACTTAATATTTCTCACCTCCAATTTTTGTTTGTATTGTTCGTGTCCTGATTTCACCCCCACGGGCCACAACAGACTAAAATGGGTCCCCGATGAAAATTTTGAATTTGTGTTGATTTTGATTTACCATCAATTATCAAGTAACTTGAGCCTTTAACTGGTTGCAGATTATCTTTTAATGGACTGACTTTCTAACTTTGACAAGGGCAAACTACTTCCTGAAAAATGAGATAAAACTTTTTAGAATGAAGCAATTCTCAATTTTGATCACAATAGTAATCAATGTGAGTAAGAGGTTGAAAAATTCATTCACATGCAAACAATTGTAAATTAAGTATCTGATGTATTCATTGATACAAGAAAAGTAACAAAGTTAAATATACCAGCAGAAAATACTCACAAAATAATAAAAAAAGATATCATAAATAACAATATGCTATACAAATGAATCTCAAATACTCTATAAGCGTGATCGACCAATCGATGTCAAAGAATTTGTACCTCATAACAAAACATTAAGAGAAATATCAACTAAAAACTATTGATCAATCAAATACTGATAATGTAATTCTTGTAAATAAATTATTGAGATGAAATAAAATTGTTATGGACAACATCTTCGTTTTAAAGTAGAAGAATTTATTATTATTATTATTATATCCTAAAGGTGGATGATATTTCATGACAAAGATTGCTCGGTAAATTATTATATATTTTTAAAATACTTGAACTTGATATTGGTATGATAATAATTCTAATATGAAAGGGAATCATACATATTAACAGAAAAGAGTACTATAAGTAAATTCAATGGCATTTTACACACCAAGTGATTGTTAAAGTGAAATGTCCGACACTTAAAACCACTATCACAAGCACATTGAGAAAGTTTAGTTGAAAGTGTTATAACAACAAATATTCAAGCGCTAGAAATAAAAGTCACTTTAGAACACTTATGTGAAAACATGTGATGACCTAAGGATATTTAGAGACGCTAAAAGTTTGTTTTTTAACATTATGGACATGTCTATTAATGCTTCTATTAGTTACTTGAAAGAACTTGTTTTATTTTTTGAAACATATAGAGAAAATTAGATTTAAATCTGACAATATTACTATTAAAGAAATTGCTACTCGAATAGAAGTTGAACCTAAATTTCATGAAAAACGTATTATTCATATAAAGAAGCGCTTTAATATCAATGATGAGATAACACATTCAGCTAAATAATCTTTTAAAGTTGATTATTTTTTATATATAGTTGATCATACCATTTCTTCACTTAATTGAGGTTTGAACAATTCCAAAAATATGAAAATATTTTTTGGATTTTGTTTGATTTAAAAAAAAAAAAAAATTGAAGACTGAGGATAATAATTCTTTTAAGTATTGGTGTGATAAGCTTAAAAAAAAAATTTGAAGGGCATTGATTATTTTCTTAACTACAAACTATGAGGAACTGTTTGTCGAGGAGATAAAAAATGGGATTGAAGTGTTAGACAATATTAAAATGATGGATTGCTTATATAATAAAACTATATCAGTTAGAGTTTGCATTTGTCGATATCAACTTCTCAAAGTTGAAATTGATAAAATCATACGTTTGGTCAACAATGTCAAAAGAAATATTGAATGTATTGACCATGATGTCTATTGAAAAATAAGTTTTAAAACAAATTGATTGTAATAGTAAATTATTGATTTTCTATCAAAAATATTGATTTTCGATAAAAATAAAAAATTAGAAAAGTAAATTTAATTTAGACTTTTGAAAATTTTAGATCTAGATTACTATTTTTAGAACTTAGAATGTTTTAATTTAATAAAACTTATTATTTATTATTAATAATATATTTTAAAATATTTAAAGGCCCTATATTTTAAGTTGACCTAAGACCCCTAAAATCTCAGGATCGACCATGTCTTCATATCATTCAATATGAGGGTCTTATACCACAATCTGTTAAAGAATGTCAAATAGTAATGATCGATAAAATGAAACAAAGCCAAATAGGCATATTAAATTTCTTAGAGAAACGTAAACTATTCAGACTTATAGTTTTGATTATAGAAAATATAATCACCGTAGGATATAAATGATTTTTTGTGAGGAAAATGAATGAGAAGATTGACTCATGAGCAAGGTTTCTTTCAAAGAACTGAAATCTATTGTAAGGAAATATATTCTCAAGTAATACATACCATAATATTTATTTTTTTAATTAATCTGGTTGTATCATAAAGGATTGAAGCACACCATACGGATGTAGTAATGATCTATCTGTATAGTTTACTTAATAGTGATATTTACATGAAAATATGGCCTGAAATTGCCAACAGAAAATGATACATGACTCAAAATTATGTTTTTAATTAAATTGTAAACATCATTTTATAGACTAAACAACCCGCACATAAATGGTATAATTGTCTTAACAAATACTCATTGAAATAGGGTTACAAAAATAATGACGTCTACTAATGTTTTTTTACAAATAAAACAAATATTGAATTTCTAATTATGACAATTTATGTTGATAATTTAAATCTTAGGATCCCTTTGTTGCAATGATGGAAAGAAAATGAATTTCAGAGAAAGTAATTGCTTAAAAATTGTTTTACAGAGAATTGTTAATTAAGTGTGTTTGATTGGTATAATTTCTCACCCAAAAAATTTTAAATTTTGTGTTTGTTTGACTTTGTTTTACATGAAAATTGTCGATTGAAGTGATAAATTTTTTCTACAATTGCTTATAAAGTTTGTTTCTATTGCTAAAAAAAAAAAAAAAAATTTGCCTAAAAAATCATTTATTTCATCAAAATTTAGTGTTCGTTTGTCTT